ACTCACATCACATGGGTTACAAAATTTTACATACGATGCACAACGTGCTCGTGAGGCACTAGCTAAATTTCTAGCTAGTGCCGAATTACCTCTTTCTTTTGCAGATGATGCCTCCTTCGAAGAATTCATCCAGACAACCTTTTGCCCACAATTTAAACGGGTAAGTAGAAACACAACTCGTTCTGATTGCATGAAAGTTTTTTATGCAATGAGACAATCTCTTGTTGATAGTTTTAGGACTTTTAATGCTACTGTGTCTTGCACTTCTGATCTGTGGGAGGGGTGTAATAAAACTGGTTCTTTATGTGTCACAGCGCACTACGTTGATGACGATTGAGTTTTACAAAAAAGAATAATTGGTTTTCGTTTATGTCCATATCATCATAATGCAACAGCTATTTTCAGTACAATAATAGAAATTTTTGGGTTTTATGGGATAGAAGATAAAGTTTTAACAATTACTTTTGATAATGCGTCAGCTAATACAGCTGTAATTAATCTGTTTAAACGTAGTTTGAAACCGGCATTTGGAGGGGAAATTTTTCATCAACGGTGTGCATGTCACATAATTAATTTAGTAGTTCAGGCAGGAATTGAACATATCTCTGCTAATCTTACAAATATTAGAGAATCATTATCCTTCATATCTAGTTCTGGAGCTCGGCTCTAAGAATTTAAATAATATTGCAGGAATAGCCAGATGCGCCCAAGAAAGTTTCCAACTGACGTGAGACATAGGTGGAATTCAACATATTTAATGTTGAAGGGAGCACTCCTATATTCACAGCTTATCACGACATACGTAAACAGTAAGAACGATCAAATTTTAATTTTCGATCCTGATTGGCAGATTGCTGAGTATTTTTTTAAATTTTTAGAAGTTTTTTACAATGCTACTGAAGTACTTTATGGAGTTGATTATCCTACTGCACATTTAGCTTTACATCAACTATTTAATATTTTAGAAACATTTTCTTATTATAGGGCTACACAACTTTTTAGAAATCTAGTTAACTTAATGGAAAATAAATTTAAAAGTTATTGGTCAGGTTGTCATATGTTATATGCATTGGCAACCATTTTAGATCCTAGGTGCGGAGTAGATGGAACTGAATCATTGATGACTGCTACCGCAGAGAATTTAAAAATAGATATGCAACTAAGTATTACTGACGCTAAGAAAATGTTAGAAAAAGTTTTTAGTTTGCATGAAGCAAAATATAGCACAGGTCAAAAAGAACAGGGAACTTCATCATCAACTACCAGTTCGGGGCCTAAAGGATC